AAACAAAAACATTTTATCAAAAACCATAAAAAGGATGTTTTCGGGTCCTTCGGGGGGATTTTCGGCGAAAACACAAATAAGTTCAAGATAGATACTGACTGCCACACATGATGAGTAATGTAGTGAGTCAGCTGGTGTCTAGCACACTCGTTTTAATCTATTGGTGTGCTTTTTATCTTCTAATTAAATCAATTTATTTCCCTTTTTCTCTTTTAAGGTAGCATGACAGAAAGTTTTTAGTTTGACTTGGAGAAATTAGGGTAATGTTTATCATCAACTTATAACCTAAGGAATTTGTATTTTTAATTTGTTAGCTATCTTAATTCAGTTAAATAATGCAAAAAATATTAATAAAATTTCATGAGTAAACATCTCACAAATCTATTTAGAATCTCAATTACATAAATTAAAAATTAGTTTTACGAGTTCACGGTTTTAAATTAAATTAAATATTAATTAGGATTGATTCAAAATCGTGGAATTAGATTGATTTTTAATTTTTTTTTATTGAGGATTTGAATCTTATTTCTCTCTATTTTTTTAAACTTAACAATTCATTAATAATAAATATAAGTTGAATACATTATAATATTCTTATGTGAATAAGAAATACAAATATAAAAAATTGAAGTCTTCTGTTTCTAGATTTTCTTTCTTTTTTTTAAAAAAAAACTTAATAATTCATTAATAATGAATATAAGTTGAATACATCATATTATTCCAAACAATCTTCTGTTTGGAAATGTTCTTAATTTTGACAGAAGAGGTTAATTTTCTGGATAAAAACTGGTCTATTTTCAAATAGGACGACAAAAGAAACCTTCCACAATATTATTCCAAACATTATTTTTTTGAAAATTCGTTACAACTGACACCCACAGAAGAGTTTAATATAATAAACTTTAATGGAGAAACATGCCGCACTACGAGGCTACATTTTTAAACGAAATTTACCTAAACTTGAAGATCTGAAGTTTCAACTTCAAGTAACCAACAATCCATCTTGTATTTCGAACTACCAAAGAAATAAAAGATCCAAATAAAAACTCTTTAATAACGAGGAATAACTCCATGAAATGAGAGAAATCAATAACCCAAGAAGAGGGTACCAAGAATACTCAAGAACTATCATCTGAGAGATTAATCCAAATTTTGTCCAAAATGATCAAAGGTTTAGAAATTATTAGAAAAAAATAAATAAAATAAAGAAAAACAATAGAGAGGGACGAAAAAAAAACATGATCGGCAGTAATTTAGAAACAAAATCTAGAAAAACACACAAAAAAAAAAAAAAAGCAGTAATTTAGAAACAAAATCTAGAAAAACACACAAAAAAAAAAAAAAAGAGAAGGAAGAATGACTATAGGTTTTTTTTTTTTTTTGTTTTATATTGTTTACTTAATCAAATCTTATTTCTCTTTGATTTAGGCATAAATTTAGGCTAATTTTTTTGTAATTATATTTTTAGTATAATTTTTTAATTTTTGAAAGTTTTTTTTTTTTTTTTTTGTTTATATTGTTACTTAATCAAATCTTATTTCTCTTGATTTAGCATAAATTAGCTAATTTTTGTAATTATATTTTAGTATAATTTTTATTTTGATTTTTATAAATATACACATAAAATCTTTTTTTCTTTTTAATATTATGCTTTGTTTCTAAAGAAACAAGCATTTGAAGTGTTATTATTCATCTGCTGTTTTTTCCCACAAGTATTGAGAAGAGGCGAGCCAACAGCAGCAAAAAATTATTTTCCAATCTAATGTCAAATCAAAATTATTTACCAATCTAATGTTTGTCTTGTCATGGAGAGAGTGTTGCACAAAAACCACCAACTCAATTGATGATTTCAGTACAATATAAAAAGTAACTCGTACTAATAAGCAATCAGTAAAAAGTAATTATATGAATAAATAATAATTTTTATTTTGTATTGATGCCAACAATTCACTTAGTGGTTACAATACTTCACTTAGTGGTTACAATACGAAATAAAAATTTTAAATTGTCAAATTGTTTTTCACTAAAATATACAATCTAGTTGATGGTTTTAATGCAACTATGAGATGTAAGCACTAGTTAGCAAAAAGTACATGCGAGAATAGTATTTTGTTAAAAGTCCACTAAGTTAACTAATAGTTTGAATAAAAAAAAAATATTTACTTACTCAAAATATTTTTTCACCAAAATCCACATATCATCTGGTGATTTCGGTTCATAAATATTTCAAGTTAAGTAATAACAACCTAAATTATTTTCACTCAAAAATATATTAACTAATTTATGTTAAGTTATTTCTTGTTTATATATGTCTTGGCAGCCATATAGAGAGGTTGAAGGACTACTTTCTCGATTTTGTTTATCTGGGAGACGCACTTGAAACTCATTAGTACCATTGATTTGCTTCCACATTGTAGAATGGCATCAATCTGATCGTTGCCTCCAACAGTTTGGGCTAGATCAATCTCTATCAATGGCACCATACTAGGATGATACGCTGCATTTAATTGACTTACGAGGTTACATTGATAATGATCGGGAGCACAAAAATCAAACATTCATTAAAGCATAGAACAATCGTTTCTCTCATGCGGTTTTATCTCGTCCACTCCAAGCACCTTTAAGCCCTTACTCAGAATATATCCAATGTTATGTGCAATGAACTAGACGTTGGATTTTATTTCGAGGTGCAGAAGTTGAAGCTATGGTAACTAGCCAATATCATTTTATCTTATCTTATAATTTCTTAATCTAATTGAATAATAAATTTTGCTCATATTTTCATAATTTCTTTTAATACAAGCAAATGAGTTACAACATATATATCACAGTTTAACATCAACATCACCATCACTTAGAACTCCATCATTACATCAAAGATTATTTAGTCTATTCAGTGCAATGAACGAAATAATTCATATTGAAACTCATCATATGCTTCAACTTGCCCCTTCATCTATAGAGTTTCCTCGTGTTCAAACACCAAAAGAGCTACAGAGACGAAGGAGGCGTGAAATGACATCTAGACGTATTCCAGTTGAAGCCTCGTCAGTAAACAATATACCTCAAATCCCTCCCCCTATAACATATGATTATTACAAAGGTTATCGCGCTAATATGCCCAATACGTCATCTTCTGCACCACAACCTGAGTGGAGTGTACCATCTGCAGCATTAGAAATCTCATCGAATACCCATTACACTTCGATGATAGCAAACCAACAAACCCATACTTCTTTCTCCGAAATAAGAGAGGCAACACCATTTCAATATACAGTACATGCATCCAATACTTTTTGCAGCGTCTTTCGACATACGTGATGGATTCTTGCTAAGTACTTATTTAATGATGTTTTTAAGATAATGATGACACCCGATCAACAAACTCATTTGCAATTTCCTATCCTACAACAACCATATGTGAATATAGTTCAAGCTCCTTATATGAGTGTCGATATAAATATTAAGCATGGAAGAATATCAAAATATTAGAGAAGATGCGAAACCCACATTGTGATAGGAGGCCTCTAAGATGTGGTACGAGAGAACATGTGGGTAGATATTAATATGATTGTTTTTTCATGTTTTAGTTATTAAGACATTTTTAATATAATATAAGTCCAATTCAAAACACTTTATTACTCTTGATAATTTATAATTGTGTAAGGAAACTTATATTGTTATTACTTAACTTGAAATATTTATGAATTAAAACCACTAGATGATGTGTGGGTTTTGGTGAGTAAATAAATATTTTTTAAATGAAACCATTAGTTAACCTAGTGGACTCTTAACAAAACACTATTCTTGCATGTACTTTTTGTCAACTAGTAGTCACATCTCATAGTTGCACTAAAACCACTAAATGAACTACGTGTTTTAGTGAAAAAGTAATTTGACAACTTAAAATTTTTATTTTGTATTGAAATTACCAATTGAATTAGGGGTCTCAATACAAAATAAAAATTATTATTTATTCATATAATTATATTTTGTCAACTGCTTGTCAGCACAAATTACTTTTTCTATTACGCTGAAACCGCTAATTGAGTTGATGGTTTTAGTCCAACACTCTCTATCCATTGCAAGATAATATTAAATTGGTAAATAGTTTTAATTTGATATTAGATGGGAAAATAATTTTTTGAATAGTATTATTTTTGTTAAAAACTCCAATAAGAACACCTATATTATTCTAAGCATTATTATACCTAGAATTATTTATCAAGATTTTCATTTAATTTATTTAAAATATTTCTTTAAATTGTTCCAATGAGTAAATATTTCTTTAACAATGCGTAGGTTTCATTGACAAGGTTCCGAACTCCAAAATTTTTAAATTTTATTTTATTGGTTAGTGAATTTTCTTATTTACTTTTAGGAGTAAAGTATTTATTTACCTAAATTTAGGAGTCAGGCTGATCACTTTTATTACCCACAAGTTTAGGATTTTAATTGGATATAAATAAATATTCTCATGCAATGTTAGATGGATTTATATCTAATTAATGTTAAACATTGTAATCAAATAAAATAAAATAAAAAACGAATATTTACTTTTAAGAACAAAGTATTAATGAGAAAAACTTCAAACGGCTTAAAAAAGAAATTTTACATTATGTAAATTTTTAATAATAATATACGCTAATTAATTCATGAAGTTTAATCCTATTATACGATTTAGTTATTTCATTTAAAAAATATATTTTTATTGTATGTTTGAGTATTTAATTTTTTAGTTTAATATGGATTACCATTTAATTAAGTATTTCGCTCGTTTTTGTGGGGATGTTCACTTGTTAAAAATGGATTTAATTGATAATTTTTAACAAATTGTACTAAATAGTGCTGAAAAGTTCTGGAGGCAAATTGAGGAGTGAGTACATTTTTATAAACAAATAAGAAAGGGGTAGTGGCATTTTAGTAAAAATGGTAGAAGATAGGGGTTGTTTTGAGAAAGAACTTACATCCTAATAGTCAATTTGCTGGCAATGCAATCTAATCCTTCACCCAAAGACCAAAGCCAGAAACAACAAAACCAACATCTATCTCACTCTTTGTTTAAATACTCTCTCGCTATTCTCTAATACCTTCAAACTGCTTAAATTGCTTAACAAATCCATAAGAAGACTATAGAAAAAGGCCCTTTCTTTATGTATATGCGTCAAAAGAAACAAGAAACGCAGATCAGAAAAGAAATCGGTCGTAGAGGCAGAGGCAGAGACGTTTCTTTTGGTTTCAATACAATCCACCACACACGGCACCCACAGGAACAAATCCAAAGCCAGTACTCACCAGCGTCGCAGCCGCAGCCGCCAACAGTACTAACCCACCAACCACCTCAGTTTCTCTTTCACTATGATCAACCCATCTTCTCCAATCATTGTTCGACAACTGAAAAACCCATGATGAGTCTATTGCCATCTTCTTCCTTCTCCTCTCTCCACAGTCACCACCAATCGGATTTTAATTTTAGCGCAAAATCAAACGTGGATAATGGCAACCCATTTGTAAGTTCAGTTTCAATTAGAACTTTAGCTTATAAAATCTTTACCCATTTAAGCCATGCCCGTTTGCTTTTTGTACACTTAAAGGTTTTGTTTCTTATTTCTTTGCCTTCTCTTTACTTGTTCTTATGCAATCCTCACCGTTTTTTTATTCTAAATTTGCTTTCTATTATTGCTTTTTCAATTACCCTTTTGGTTTCTCTTAATCTTGCCCGTCCTCGCTTACCCTCTATTCGGTTGCTGTTTGCTCGTTCATTGCCTAATAATCTCAATTCAACACATTTACCTGCAAATGCTCCAAAACCTGTAATATGGTCAATTGGGTCTAACCCAAAAGTGGAAAATAAGCTAAATTCAGGGTCTTGGGTTCAAGTTTATAGCAATGGTGATGTTTATGAAGGTGAATTTCATAGGGGGAAGTGTTCAGGTAGTGGAGTTTATTATTATTATATGAGTGGAAGATATGAGGGTGATTGGGTGGATGAAAAGTATGATGGCTATGGAGTTGAAACATGGGCTAAAGGAAGTCGATACAGAGGGCAATATAGGCAGGGTTTAAGGCATGGAATTGGAGTTTATAGGTTTTATACAGGTGATGTTTATGCTGGCGAATGGTCTAATGGACAGTGCCATGGGTGTGGAATTCATACATGTGAGGATGGAAGTAGATATATTGGAGAGTTCAAGTGGGGTGTCAAGCATGGCCTTGGACGATACCATTTCAGGTAAAAGTCGTTGGATTTTATGTTGTTTTATTTTAATTTATTCGGAGTGATATATACCCTTGAATTTTACTCAGTTTTAATTACATATATGTCATCATTCTTGAAGGTTTCTTATTTTATGTTTGAGATGAGAGGACACATTAAGTTTTTATACAACTCCTACTCAATTAGGCATTAAAGCCAAACTAGCTGGGGTTTTTTTCTTCTTTATGTTTCTGTATAAGATGGAATTGGAATTGAATGGAGCTTTGGACTTTAGTTTCTCATTTTAATGGTCAGGGAATGGGTTTTTCTATGCTCAACTATGTTGTTCGGCATTGGGAAGGAAAAATATTTTCAATGCTTTATATTTCTGGTATTGGTCAATGATATTCAGTCAATACCTATATAATGTGGAATGATGATGTTTCAGCTGGTAGCTAATGCTAATATCAACAATTAATTACCAGATCAGGTTTGACTTTGTCACAAGCAAGAGAGCACTAGCATTACTAAATGTCTTGTTCTGTCTTCTATTCTTGTTTTTACTTGTTCTAAAAGGAGGGCTAAACACATATAATAATACCAAGACAATTAAAATTCATAAATAAAACCTTATTATAGAAAAATCATAACAATCCTAACACTATAACAACTATTAGATAAGTTCCATGCATGATTGAGATACATATATTTAGATGTAATATAAATGATATTTTCTTGATTAGTTTGTAAAGATACAAAAAATTTAGTTAAATAATCAATCTTGTTAGTCTAGGAAACCAGAAAACTCAAAGTATCATCTGAGATATTTCCAAGATTGCCTTTCGAAACTAATCAAGATATGATATCTTGTGGTGAAACTAATTTGCGCCAAAACATTTTTAAAATTGAAACGAAACATAATCTAGTGAATGATGTGATACCTGGATTTGCTATTCATTCTACGTTTATTATGGAAGATAAGAGTTAACAAATTGTTGTAGTTGGAGATATTTAGATGCTAGGGCCAATTATTACAATGCAATTGCTCATTTGAATTGTGATGTTAATGACCTGGCTTCTGATTTTGCTAAATATGCAGAAATGGGGACACATATGCTGGTGAGTATTTTGCAGACAAGATGCATGGTTTTGGAGTTTATCAGTTTGGAAATGGGCATCGCTTTGAAGGAGCCTGGCATGAGGGAAGGAGGCAAGGTCTTGGCACGTATACTTTCCGAAATGGGGAAGCACAATCTGGTCACTGGCAAAGTGGCATTCTTGATGTCTCTAGCTCGGAGAATACCCCGCCTGGATCTCCATATGCTGTTAGTCATTCCAAAGTTCTTAATGCTGTCCAGGTAACTACATATTCAGATGTGAAAAGTCATTGTCAGTGTTATTTTCTAGATGAGGTGAAAAGCAGAATAGATGAGAAAGTGCAACTTTAAAACCATAGTATGTGATTAATGTGTAGAAAATAAGGTGTGAGATAAATTAAGCTCAACTTCAAAGAATTGTGTGCAAATTATAATAGGATTATATTGAAGGGCTGTTAGTTTCTGTTTAGTATATAGGCCATGGAACCAGCCAAATTTCACTCATATTTTAATTGTATTTTTGTACTGTGGAAATACTTTGGAAACCATGAAACTCTCAAAACAAGCGTGTAGGCCAGTTCAATTTTTAGTCAAGCTTCAACCTGCTCTCTCTGTGGCTGCTGAGAGTATATCAAACTTATTTGGTAGTTCCACTAGAGAGTAACTTCCTAACTTGTATGATTGCATTTTGTTGCTTTTTCTAAGAACCTGTTGTCTACTTGATGAGTTTTGAGTCATATGCTTTGAAATACTCCATTTTTCTCTCATTAACAATTGCTCTATTTTATTCATCAACAAATACTCTATTTTTCTCTTATCACATTACAAATAAAGATAGAGAGTAATATGATGAGAGAAAAATATAGAGAGATTTACTTAATTAGATAAAATTTTCATTAAAATATGCAGGTATGATAACATTAATGTTTTGGGAATTGGTAATTGAATTGTGGCTGGAGTGACCTATTCTAAACCGTTTTAGAAGTTCAATGGTTCTTATATTGCAAAATTGAAGTTAAAGTAAATGATGAAACATAGTTATAACTTTAGGGATTGGTGATGACATCAATCCCACATTTGCAGATGGTACCAGCTTTTTTCATATTATTCCACCCAATATTTCATTTTTAGCTGTTGGAACTTCCAACAAGTTCTGCAGATACTGAAATTGATAAATTGCTTACTGGCACACCATAGGTGACTTGATTATAAAACGTTTTCATCTGATTCATAATTGTGTTATAAGCAGGAAGCACGGCGAGCTGCTGAGAAAGCGAATGATGTTGCAAGGGTAGAAGATAGGGTGAACAGAACCATTGCGGCAGCTAACAAAGCAGCCAATGCTGCCAGAGTTGCAGCAGTAAAAGCTGTCCAAAAACAAATGCCTTATAACAACAGCGATGACGATCGAAATCCCTTTGTTTAATCTTTACAGTCATTGGGTACTTTTCTGCTGTCAACTGACTAAAAGATTTTGAACCCTTCGGATTATTCATGTTGCTTAATATTTGTATCCTGTTGTAAGTAATGATAGAAGGTACCTACTTGGAACCACATTCAACCGGCGAGGGAAATGACTGATTGTGGAGCAAGAAGGATTCCAACCTTTTCTTTTGGCCTAAATAATATGTACATGGGTTGAGTAATAGGTTTATGGGAGATGGCGATATGGTGCCTAAATTTTTAGCTTAGGGTCTGCTTATCCCTTTTGCTGCTTGTAAATGTTCTGTAGTTATTTGTATGTCTGCATGAAATGATGCGGTCACTGTTGCAACTGTTCTTATCATAAGAAAAGCTTAAGAGAGTATTTGCATATATGCTTGTGTATATGTTGAGAGTTTTACTGCTTGTGAATATGCTAAAGCTTTATTTTATAAATTTATATTCATTAATGGTATTGAATCAAGTAATAACACTATTATTTTTTTCATTCTAATAGGCTTAGTTTACAGTTGACACTCAAATTAAATCAACAGTAATGTTAAAATATAATTGTTTAGCTAAAATGCATTTTTTTTTTTTATGATTCAAAACTTTACGGTAGAGAGGAATAGAGGAGACCGTCGCTGTTTGGTAGAGAGGAATAGAGAAGACCGTCGCTGTTTATTTGGCTCAAAAGTAATATTCGACGCGGGTTGTGGTTTTGGTGAATGAGAAGTTTTGTGCAAGTTAAAATGTTAAATGGTAAAATTCGACGGCGGTTACAATTTGGGTGAATGAAATTATTTTTGTCATAATAATTTAAAAATGTGATTTGCGTCGAACCCATCCTTTAGATTAAAGTATGAGAGATTGTGGATCCCATAAAAATAATTTTTTATTCTTCAAATTGAATAGAATTTGAATTTCAAATGTTAGGGTAAAGAAAAAAAAAAGGTAAATTTAGGATAAAATTAAAAAAATCTGCAAAGTTGAGGAGTTTTTTGAATGGTTTGTCCACTGGCCGCTAGTTCCTTTTCCTTTCTCAACATTCAGCTTCTTGTTACATTTATGTTGGAAGAAAATAGCTTGTTCTGACTTGAGAAAATATATTTATGCATCAACAATGTTCTTAATACTATTAAAATTCAGTTCAAAAAAAATACTAATAGAATTGGCAATTGCCTATTTATTTCGTGTGAAATAAAAGAAAATATTTTAGCATCTTAAATCCAAAAAGTGAAAATTTTAATTGAATATAATAATTAGGCCAATTTAGAAATCTTGTTACTCGAGGAATTCACTTCCACAACACGAAAACAGTTGAGGAATTTTCATTTTGGAAAAATTTGAAAATTTTAAGGCTACAAAAATTAATTGCATGGCATTAAGATTGGAACAAACTTTTTTAAATATGTAATTTTAAACAGTTCAATATTATCTTTCTTTTAAATTATTTTCTAATTCTTATAATTAAAATGTATCAAATTCACTATAAAAATAGTTTCTGACATTTCGTTTCATACAAACCAAGTCTATCTTCAAATACCAGCTTATAATATAGAACATCCACAACAGGAAAACAGTTGGAGACGAGGAAAAACCAAGCAAACGATAGAGTTAAAGCCTTAATAACCTAAGCTTCAAAACACAAGTGCACTACACGGAAGAACTTTAACTTGTAAGAAAAATTAAATTAAAATCCTCAAAAAAGTCAATTACTAAGAAGATAACAATGCAAATAACCAAAACAGCAGCAGATAGGTTCAATGGTAGCTCAGCTCTCGGTTTGTTCTCTAAGCCTTCTTATTGTGCTCCTCACAGTCACGGCACTGGCGGTGCTGTTACAAAACAAAACCACCAATAATTACTCTCTTGGATGATGTTTTTTTTTAAAAAAAAATAGTCAACAAGGGTCAAGATTCATTACTTCAAAGTGTAGGCACCGCCTGCTTTGACTTTACCACAGTCTTTGCAGCCCCAAATTCCCACAGCCTTTCTCTTCACAGCGTACTGCAAGAGGTGCAGAAGATCATTACAAAAGGCAACAGAATCGAACAAATCCTCATCCGCTTGAGCAAAAGACACAGACTAAAGTTAATCCATGATTACAAATGGCTTACCTTCCCACAGAATTCACAGAAGTATTTGCTGTGCTGACTGACCTCCATCTTCTTAATCTGTTTACGCAGACTTGCACCATACCTGGTACCTGCATTACAAATTAAATTAAATAATAAGAAAAAGACATTTCAAGATCAGAATAACAAGCTTTGAGTCATCACAAAAATGATGCTCCAGAAGTCATTGTATTCAGATTTTGAATCATACAAAAATTCTATGCTCCCACATGCAGTCAATAACAAATTCAATTAAATTGCATTACCAATAGTTTCAATAATGCTCAACACAACTTAAGTGGGTTAACATTCTTGCATAATGCATTACAAAAAAAATCTTCATAACAAATTAATAAATAAAATCACATGCTAAATCATGCAAATATGCTTCTCACCAAAAAAAAAAAAAAAAAAAAAAAATAATAGACACCTACCATATTTTCCAACAATACCAGCCTTCTTTGTTCGCTTTGTCTGCATCACACAAAAAAGTGCATACAACTTAGGAAGTTACTCCAAATAGCAAACAATGAATTGCAATAACTTATAATTACCAGAGGATGAACAAGAAAACCAGCATAAAGAACAGACCAAACGAGGTAAGGCCATATATGTGAGAAATTTTGTACAACTGTTCCAAATTCATAAATGTCCAACCATATAATGACGATAAAAACAGTACAAGGAACAATAAATTGAGAGATAGGAAAGATTTAACTCCTTACTACAAAATGAAGTTTACAAACAACAAATCGGATACTCGAGCAAAACCAATAGAACTGGAACCAGAATTTTAGGCAATCACAGATAAAATGTGACAAAGGTTTTGCCTTCAGTGCAGAGAGGGAAACCTCTAGCATATTTCTGACTTTCCCTTCATTATTTTGTGCAAGTATTCAAGCTGAGATATATTGCTACAAGACTTCATTTTTCTTTCTCAACACATTTCAAATCATCTTATACCGAATTCAAATTAATCATTAAAAGTCAAATTATTGAACTTAGATCACTTAATATGAAAAAAAAAAAACTCATATTTAATTAAATCCCAAAATAATATTTTCCCCAAGAACTAAATGATTCAATTCTGCTAATGAATTAAGCAAATAATCCTTACTCAAACAAGAAATGAGCCTATTCTAAATCATGATTAAATGAAAAAACCATTTTCCTAGAAAACCCTAGGGTTGAAAAAATCAGGAGATCAAAATTTTGATAGAAACATCATAAAACATTACGTAGGGAAAGGGAGAGTACCATGGTTGTTGGCTTGAAGGACCTCTGCTGGTGGACCTGTAAGAAGCGGCAATTGAAGCGAGAGCTGCTAAGAAACCCTAGGGTTTCGTTTCTCACCAGGATTTTATAGAAGCTTTGAAATGGCACAACGGACCCTGAGTTTGAAGCGGATCCATGCAATATGGTCCAAAACCAAATGGGCCGTAGCCACTTAGGCTTTATCACTTTATTATTGTGTTTTCTTTTAAAAAAATTGAGAAAAAAAAAAGGTTACTGAAAAATCCCAATTGCTCAAATCCCAATTCTAAAATATGATTTTATAGATTCACGAAAAATATTTTTTATTTGAAATTTATGTAACATTTTGTTAATGCTAGTAAACCATATCAAGAAGACCAAGATTTAGGATTAAAACCATTTAATTATAATGGTTATTATTTAATTTATATAATTACGATGGATATTATATTCATACTTGATTTCTCTTTACCTTATTAATAAATATATCAATTAAATAATTAATAATATGGCTATTATTTTATTTTGTTTGGTGATAATAATAATTAATCCATATTTCCAGTCAAAAAATATGCCTATTAAATTTTATTTAGTTAATTATCGATACAAGATTTTTTTTTCTTTATTTTGATTCTTATAAGAATTTATACATTTTCGTTCTTTATCACAGAGTAACTTGTCTAAAAAATAATTTATGACATTGGATTTAATTAATTTTCACAATATTGATTTCTAATGCATTTATAATGTTTAAACCATAAAATTAATTTAATTATCAAAATTTAATGATTTCATAGGAAATTGTTCAAGAATTATATTATATTATATAATATATAAACACATATATGATTTGCTTAAAATTGTCTCCATGCTTTCTAAATTGTATATACTGAGAGATAAAATATAGTACATAGTTACCTAAATTTACCTAATTACTTTTTTGAGATGAAATATAATTTTTTAGACCTCACATGAAAATCAAAAAAGAATATGTGCATAAAAAAAAAGAATTAATAAAGGTAAAGGGATTAAATAGAAGAAAATAAATGAAAAAAATAATATTATTTAAATTAATTATAAAGATAAATTTGTATTTAGAATTATGAGATCAAAATAAACAGGATCGTTGCATTAGATTACTCTGACTTAATATGATGGACCATTAAATTCAATATTATTTTATTTATATTAAAATATTTGGAAAAAATAAAATAAAAATTTAAAAGATTTTTAGAAAAATATAATTTTTTTTGACTTAAAAAGAGGGGTCTCAATTTTGCATAAAGTGAAAAATTAGTGGAGCACTCAGCAACAAATACACAATGACAGGTTTCAAGATATAAGAACAATTATTACAGCAAGAAGATATGCTGCAAGTAGAAGCAATTTGACATGATCCAAAAGAGTCGCTATTAGATATTATTATTTTAAAGAAATATATATATATTTGGCCAAATGCATAAATATATCCTTATATTTTATGAAAAAAAATTTATGGCACTCTGAATTTTGCGAGTGACCTATTATGTCACTGAAGTTATAAATTTTGCTAATATTGTATCTCTCTCTATACTAATAATAATATTTTTTTTGATGTTTTTGGTATTTATATGCAAAATATTCACTTAATATGTGGTTAGTATAAATAAAAATATTTCTGGTCCAAAATATTTGAAAAACAAGAAATCAGCAATCCCATAAAACCAGAATATGAAACTTGAGCGAAGATAAAGTGCAGTATATTTCATAGTATACTGATTTGCATATACACGAGTATTGGCCACACTTTTAGAAGCCACTGTAACTTTTAGACCAAAAAAATTTTAAGTATTTCAGTTTCTAAGATATCAAAATATCGTGACAAAAAGAATTTCACCATAATGTTGGCTACAAATTGGCCAAACCAAATGAATCAACCAAATTCGACTCTTTTGGTTGGTAGATTATCTTCTTGAATATGTCTTTTAGATTTTCTTGCCCAACCATCTGGTCCAACAGTTTATCATGCTGAGCTTCATGCATATTTGATAAATTTCGTTTCAAACCATGCTCAGTTCCGGACGAATGGAAAACCAACTCTGATAACCGGTCCTTTTCTGCCTGCCGGCAGTATTTTTCTTCTTCCATCGTTCCAGACGTTATCAGATGATAGATGTGAACAACTTTCTCCTGTCCAAGCCTATATGCACGGCTTATTGCTTGCCTTTCAACTGATGGATTCCATACAACATCGAGCAAAACAACCCTTGAAGCACCAACAAGATTTATTCCTTCGGAACAAGCCTTTGTCGATGCAAGCATCACTTTTGAATCACTGTTTCTGTTGTTGAAATTCTTGATCAATGATTGGCGCTTGTCAGTATCAACTCTGCCATGCATATGCAATATTTCCGTATCTTTCCTCCATTTGAAACGATATTTGAGTTGCTTCCCTATCAATTTCAAGGGAGCGAGATACTGACTGAACACCAAAACCTTTTCATGCATTGCATTACTAAGACGGATAAGCTCAACCAGGAATCTTGTTTTGACTCCAAACTCAGGATTCAACCGATGTCTTTTCAATTTATCCCATGCAAAAGGCTCTTCGATGTTGATTGATTGCTCACGCATCAGAGATGGATGCACAGAAACCACAGACACCAAATATTCCAAATTAAAATTTGTGCCCCCTGCTTTTTGAACTTTATCAAGGAGTATTTCCTGCAAATGGACTGGCTTCAAGATAACTACAGAATCTACCAAACCAGGAAGTCTCTGCTGTAGAATGTTACCCCTATGTACATGCACCATAGGTCCAATTATTGCTCTAACCTCTGCCAATCGCTCAGCATCATCTCTAACTTTGCCAATTGAACTTGTTAGAGAAGCCCAATCCCGTCTTGCACCCTGCATTCGACCACGCCTTTTTCGTCGTTTGTTGCATGATATCCGAACAGCAAATTTAGGTCTCACCAAGATTAGTATATTAAAAAGCTCAGCAAAATTATTCTGAAAAGGTGTTCCTGAGAGAATAATGCGCTTTTCTGTTTGGACTTTAGATAGAGCCTGCCATATAAGACTCTGTTCATTTCGGGCCGTATGTCCTTCATCGAGGACTAAAAGACCGGGAAGCCCAAGAAGAACTTTTCGCACCACATCATCTTCATGCTTCCTTTTCCCCTTACTTCTCTTCTTTTCTTCTCCAACAAGTTCTTCAAAAAGTTTATAACTGATGCCGAGGACACTCCTTTCACTTTTCCAGGAATATAACTTCACCATGCGGATATAGTTTAAATTATTGTGCACTGATTTAGCTAGCTTTATGGCGGCCGGATTTTCCTTGCCAGAGTACTTGGACTGGTTCAGATTGTGAAAGGGAATGTCAACTTTCCACTTCTTGAATTCTGCTTCCCAGGAAAGCAGCATGCTGCAAGGGGCAATAATTAATGGTCTGCACTTTGGATAAAACTTCATATATGTCTGAAGAAAGACTATAGCCAGACGGGTTTTCCCTGTCCCAGGAGCATGTGATATTATACATCCAGTCTCACCATCAGAGCTGCCTGGCTCTTTCAACTTATCAAGGTGAATTCCACCACCTATGTTCTTCCATAGAAATTCAAAACCTTCACGTTGATGTGCATGCAGGTCCTTTCCAATACCGGGAATGATGTTCCACACTGTGCCCTGCATATGATTGCAGGACCCACAGCCAGCCTGTGAATCATGACCGGAGTCCTGATTGCAAAGCTTGTCAAAGATGTTAGGTTGCTCTTCATAATAGTCCCTCCTTTCTGAATACTGCAAAGGACGTCTATCCTGCAATGAATAAAATGAAGTTTAAGAAATCAGATTCTGATGTATATGAGAAAACTGGACACACACACACACATACACATATATATAGAGAGAGAAGGATTATCTTGAGAGCATTCAAGGTAATGTTGCTAACGAAATATGCGATTAGCGTTTTGAATTGCCATTTTTTATTCAAATGATCAAATCACATGAAGCAATTTTTGGTACTAAAGAATTTTCTTTTAAAATTATTCATTAAAATAAAATAATATTTGTAGAAAAATTTATCTTGCTCTTTAACTTTGATCCCAAAAATTGTAATCCATGCTTTGTCGCTATAAATCCCCACAAAATAAATGCAATAGATAGTTGACATTAATCATCCAAAATCCTCTCTTGCCAAGTCCATATAAAATTGCAAATTGAGAGGCCACATATTTTGCATTATCAAGTCATTTTTTGAAATCTGATTATTAACTAACTTGTCCGCATAGTTGCCAAAACGAGAATCAAAATTTTTAGTTTAGAATCGAGAATCGAATCGTAAGATTCAGTAGAACTTTTCAAAATTATTTAAAAATAAATACATATATATTTATGGATATATTTCCATTAATTTTGTCAAAAGATACTAAAAATTAATTGCAAATAATGTATTTACATAAATTTCAATTCTAAATCATTTACTAAACACAAAATGAAAGAGAACTTAATGATTTATGTAGTTGTCAAGTTCAAAATATCAAACTATGAAGTTAAAATTTTAATATAAAACAAAGTAAAACTATCAAGCCATTAAAATTTCCTATCCAAATAAATCATCTACTTAAGACACAAAAATAAAGAGTAACTTTAATGAAACTATGAAGTTAAAATTTTAATATAAAACAAAGTAAAACTATCAAGCCATTAAAATTTCCTATCCAAATCCATATTTATTCATTATCATTTCCAAGTTCAAGCCCTTCATTATCTTCATCTTCTAATATAACTATATTCTCCTGCTCTTCTTTTCTCTATATTGACTTTTCCACTGGTGTTGTTGGCTAAGATAATTGTGCGACATGAGAATTGACTCAAGTTGTAAGATTCGAATTGCATGAATCGTAAGATTCAGGATCAATACCGATTCACCCATAAGATTTGAATCGTTTAGCATGAAAATTGAATAGAATCGAAGATTCATATCGTGATCATAAGATTTTGATAACACTGCTTGTGCGATATACTTGAATTTGAAGCATGACAATCAGATTGCTAGACTACTGCTAATCACATTTCCAATTTATAACAGACCAAACAACATGTAAATGTGATGGATTCCATTGTCGTGAAACTCTCATGTACAGAGTTCAATGCCATTGATTATACAATGTAGAACTAAAACAAACTAACTAACAAGCTAAAGACATGAACTGAAGCATGAGTATCAGAGGAACATGACACTTACAAAAGGTGCTGTATAATATCTTATCTCCAGATTTACAAGAGAGCAAAATTTGCATTTGATTCCAATCTCTTCATCAAGGATAAAGAAATGCTTCCCTTGACTGCAAAGGACAGCTGGATCAAGTTCAGCATCAGGTGCAACATCAACCTCATCTTTGGCCACCTGATCAAACATAAAACAACATTAGTTTCACTTGACTAGGGAAAGGACCACGTAACTTCTCGAATATGAGACTACTTGAACTCATCAATGCTTATAGAATTTACCCAATCTGAAAGTTTGAGTTGGTTTTCCAATCATCAATTGTGTAAGATACTATCAGCTAAAAATTACTTCAATTTCTGACTATGGATACAAACAATAATTGAACACAAATAACCAGCTATAAATCATACATGTATCTATATGTGTATAACCATCTTACCTTATATATCTTCATCATGATTTTCTATCTGAAATAAAAAGAATTGTGAACCTTTACGTTACACTTAGCTTTTTCCTTCCTTTTTCTTTGTACTTATCCATTTTAGAAGCAAAATAAATATTAAAAAAATTGCTGCATTTAGTTGGACAGCAAGAAACAATAATTTTTTTTAAAAAAAGTTACATTCTATATCGAAAGAAAAATTAATTCTTTTGTTATAACTGCCTTTTAATCCTTCCCTGCCTCCTTTAAAATTGATATAGTAATTAAATTAAGTGTTGTTTTATTTGACATTTATTTTCAAGCAGAAACAAATAGAGTAGAAAGATTGAAGAGCAAAGATTGCTGACAACAGGACTTGAAATCAATACGAAGCAAAGCAGTACTATATCAATAAAACGGCTCAACAAGGCATTACCTCTTCCTGTCTCTCTTCAAGTTCGGTAAAATCAATAAGAACATAATACAATCAGCAGTAAAAAGATACATCAAATTGATAGTTAAAAATCATTGCATGTTTTTTGAGATTGTCCAAAATTCAGTCACACATACACACATACACATACATTCTTCATAAGACATGATGCATCAGAACTTGCAAGAATAAACTTTAAGATGGCACACTGGGTTAAAATATAATATCTATGATGTTAGGAACTAATTTAGCTTCTACATTAGTTATGATCCATGTCACAATAACGCTAAAATGTGAATCTCACAAGCCGAGTTTTCTTAGAATGGAAAATCCAAACAGTTGGTACTGAATAAGTCAACAATTTTATTGAACACTCACAACCAAAGACTTCATGAATATAATGCCAGAAATGTATTAAACATATCATTAACAACAAAGCAGTTGGAAAATCCAAGTCTAAATCTTTACCCACAAGCTGACATTGAATTAAAATTTCAAGCAGAAATGTGAAGAAAATTAGTGTAATATGAGTGCATCAGCAACATCTAAAAAGTCAAAGGAAAGAATACCGGTGCATCATCAACTCCATCATTAGCACAAAGAGCAAGGCCCATCTCAGCCCAAAGCTTCTCTAATTCCTTATCTTCTTCAGATATATCCACTGGTGCCGATTCTTCAATTCCAAATGTGAATTTTAGTGGAAGAGTCGGCTCAACAATGACTTGCTCAACCATTTCTTCACAAGGCAATTCATCCTTATCAAATATGGAGTTTGCAAGAATATCAAAAACTTCATTATCTTCATACGCACGGATTCTCTTCCTTGTGGACTGCCCCCCACACAACTCCTGCACATGCTCATTATCATCATTCCCATCTTTAGGTGCATAAGTTTCATCATTTGCAATCTCAACATCATCACCACTGTCATCACAATTGACAGCAGCATCACCACTGTCATTGCTGTCCTCAACATCCTCCTTGTCAACACAAACAGGTTGTTCAATAGTTCCAGGCTTAATTCTCTTCTTATTGGATTCTGAAATACCTCTTGCCCGTGTACGTTTCGCAACACAATTAACCTTTCCACCACCATCGATTTCTCCTTTACCCTTTTTCCCAATTTCCCTCCCTGGAACCCAGGTATCCTCTTCTTTGCTCTCGCTACTTGAACCCTCAACATCACCAGAAGTATCAGATTTCTCTTCTTCAACATTCTCATATTCTGGGTCATCAGTATCCTCTCCATTAGAAGATATATCAGTTTCTTTAACTTCATCTGAAATACATATAACTCCATCACTATCTATCTCAACTTCACCACCAGTTTCTTTAACTGCACCACCAGTTTCTTTAACTTCACCACCAGTTTCTTCAACTTCACCATCTGAAATAGATATAGGATCATAATCACCATCTGAAATAGATATATGATCATAATCACTACCTATCTCATCAGATTCACAACAAGACGTACCCACATTACTAGAAGTACCCGCATTGCTCTTCTCTACAGTATCGTAAATACCCAAATCTATAGTCTCTACACTATCATCCTTAGACCCAAAATTCACACTTACATCATCTTTTTCACATGATCTACCAAACCCAGGTGTATTCTTTTTCTTCATCTCTTCATATAATTTTTGGATCCTCTGATCCTCCCTATTACGAGTCCTTCTAGCAATAGGTGAACGGTCCCTCATCTTTTTCCAAAAAAAAAAAAAAAAAAAAAAAAAAATTGCAAGAAAGAAGACATTGAGAATACACAAGAAAATCACATGCAAATATATTTATAAGAAACAAAATTCAAATACATTGATAAAGAAAAAAAAAAGAGACAGAAATCTCTAGAGATAGGTACCTGTAAAGAGTTGCAGATAAATTCAAGCACTGTGACCTTTCTGGTTGCTTGCTTCCTATTCCCTTACTCGATTCAATTCAAAACCTCCCGAAGATTACAAGGATAAGGTTATTATTGGGCTTTGGAAGATATAATCTTCAATTATTTGTTGAGATAAGAATCAGTTTGGTAGAGAGCAGTCAGAGCAAAAGGAAGGGGAAGGGGAAGGGGAAGGCAAAAGGGCGCGAATGCCTCCACTGAAGAGAAGAGAATTTGTCGTTTTCATGTTTTTGACTTGTGAAGAGTTTTTAGTTTACTTTAACCTGTAGCAAAAAGGCGAACTCAGTACTGTACTAGGTTTTGTCTTTTAACGATATATTATATTATTTTATAATATTTATTTATTTTGAATACCGATTTTGCCACTTCATATTATGACAAATATCGAGTCTTGCGCTAAAGAAAAAAATATTTGATTTTGGAGCTTTTCTTTTTAATATATTTTTTATTCTAATTAAATTGAATTCTAATAAAATTATTGTATTTTTATTTAGGGTGCCGTCATTTTCAGAGCAAATTTTATTAATTACAGAGCATATAATTTTTTATATCATCAAAATGACTTATTTGCGCTTACTAACCTAATAGAGATTCTAAGTTGTTAAAACTCCAATCTCTAATCCCTCTCTCTTTCTCCCTCGTTAACTCCAACCAAACTTCAACGCGAACACTTGCCTGGTGTAGGAACAAAACAAATGAAAATTCAAGAAAATGTTCACATGTAAACATGGTAAACTTTGGTTTCAAGCTAGATGAATTGTTCCCCTCCCAATGAAAATAAAAGAAACTCAAAAACACTTCAGCAACGGATACATTTGTGCATAGACACACATACAGAAACAAAAAGGGTCCTGTAAGTAGCCATCTAACAGTGGATGTATCTTTTGCATAAAATAGTTACTGAAAGAAATTAAGACAAATAGATAGACTGGAGATAGTTGATGCCGCTCATGCAAGGATGCTTTAAGCAAGAATTGAATGTCATTGTAATGAGATCTACTCATTGCAGCCAACGACCCAAAATATTTTTTAAAAAGAAAAATGAGATCATGGATAAATAGCAGAGCTAACAACAAATTGTTGAACTCCAAATAAAAGTTCAATCTATTTTCTTTTCCATTTACCATAATCGAGAAATACTTGAATTATTGGGTATTTGGGTTGCCTACTAATCCTGACAACAATTTCTTTTTTCTTTTTAGTTTATCAGAATTTGAACGAAGAACATCTAACTTAGCTGCAAGAACCAAAAACTCAATTAAACAATCAGTTACTTATCTTTGTGTAATTTTAGCTGCAAGAACCAAAAACTCAATTAAACAATCAGTTACTTATCTTTGTGTAATATATGCACAAGTGCCTAAGAGCTTAAAAGTTTAATTATCATCTCACCAAGATAGACAACTAGTGAAGTTAAAATGTTGGCTAAACAACAGCTGACCACTATAATATGCATAGCAAAATGAAATTCTCAGTCCCAAAACTATGGTAATTCAAAACAATTTTAGGAAATAATAATATGTTACTAAATTGGCATAAAGTTTAAGAATGAAAAATTAAATTACCTCATTTAGGATATGAGTTTCTTTTTTACCATCATAGTTTCTTTTGCTTTTACAAGTACGACTGTTATGCCAAGTAGCCTTGCATATACTACATTTTCTTGCATTCTCTATCCTTTCAAAACTTGAAGGATTGCTTTTGTAGAGCTTGATCCAAATGGTTTTTTAACCTAATGGTCGACCTTTATGAGAATGAATTTTTGGTTCCCAATATGGAAGACTTGTTGCACTTATTAGTTGAGATAAAGTCTCTCGAGCATGTTCTTTTTCAATAAGAGGCCATTGTTGATATTTACCTTGAAACTTATCATGCATTTCTTTGAACTCATCTTCTTTATTATTTATTATCCCCAACAATGCAAGAAAGTAATCTTGTGTCAATCCTCCACTGTGAATGTATGACATCAAGAGGAACCACTCCATCTCTCCAATCTATCATCTTATGAGCACATGGAAGACCCATAGTTGCCATGAAATTACCAGTGCATAAAGGTTGCATTTTTCCATATTTCATCATCTCAAATTGCTTATATAGTTCTCGCATTGCAAGTATTGACATGCGAGTAATTACTTCCTTGAAGAAAACAGAACTACAATAATGAGGCATTCGAAGTCTTTCACTTGAAATTTGAGCTTTGATCTCTTGAAATTCTTTCTTAATGGCAAGACAAAGTTTATCTTTTACTTGAAGAAAATCACCTGTAAAAACTAGCAAATATCATTTAAGTTTTGCATGTACAGCTTCTACTCTTGAGGAGACACGATTTCCAAAATGTAAATAATTTTCAGTCCAAGCACTAATAAAATGCTTCCCCAATGGGTCTCTTGAATATAAATTAAAGCATCTTTCTTCTCCTTTCCAATTTTCTTCATAATTAATTTCACTTTGAGAGTATATCAGTATATTCCAGAAGGACAAGAAAGATTTCCAATCATCTTCTTCTTCAAAATATTTTTTACAGTTTGCTTAGATATTCTTCTCTATGTGCCATATGCATAACAATTTTACATTTGTTGGAAAAACAATTTTAATAGCATTCATCAAAGCCCACACATAATCGTCTTCTCTTTCTTTCTCCAAAAATGCAAAACAAGAATAAAAAGAAGTATTGAAACTAGAAATTCCAATTATATCAAGTAATGGCATTTTATATCTATTGGTCTTGTAAGTACAGTTCATCACAAACACATTTGCATCATATCTAGTTAAAGTAATTGATGATGAGTGACCAAAAAATAAATGGGTTACTTGGCCATTTTCATTGCATTGCACATTGTACACAAAATCACCTTTTCCAAATTTCTCAAATAATGCTTGAAGCATAGTACGAGAACCTAGATTTTCTTCATAAATTTTAACCTTCGCATTGTACACAGTTCTAGAAATTGCCAAGAAACTTTGATTTTTTTGTATAAGAGATGATAAAATTTGGCGTGGAGGTATACCTGATTTAGTCATTTTTTCAACACTTGTGATTTCTTCTTTAAATAAACGACGACTAGAAGTGTGTCCAGACATATTTTCAGAAGGCTTATGATTATGGGACAAAATTTTTACTTCAACTTTCCAAATACCTTCATCTTGTCTTTTTCCTTTAGATACCACTCTGTCACGGGCATAGAGTCTCACGCAGCACTGCGCCCGTGCGGCGCCCCGAGAGCCCTCCCGCATGACTCCGAGACAAGCCTCGCCATACCGTACCACACTGGTTTCGCCCTGCCATGGGCTCATCAGGAGAGCGGCCCAGCTCTCGACCAGTTGTGCCCGAGCAGCACACAGGAGAGCGGCTCAGCTCTCAATGACCAAGTTGTGCCCGAGCAGCACACTACCCTGCCCTGCCAGTGCAACTTTTGCATAGGGTTAATGGTTACCACTTTGGGGCAGAACGCCCTAATCCGCTAAAGCCGCCTCAACCCACGCAGGTTGAAAACGCAGTAGGTAGCAATTCTTTGGATGTTGGCCTCACACTGGGTTTACGGCATTTGTCCGTAACATCCTCCCCGCACTCAAACTCGGCCGTCCTCGTGCCGATTGGAGAGGTCGACTCGCCTTGGACGTCCTTGCGCTTTAACGCCCACTTCGACCCACTTTCTCTTAGCTTTATGCTAGCCAGCCTGCCCGAACACATGCCCGAAATAACGCGCTCGGTGCATGAGGTCTTGGCCAATTGCTTTGAATACGCGCTCGGTGCCTGAGGTCTGCGCCATTGCTTTGACACCGGATAGAGGTGCGATGCCTAGCCCCGCCATTTGATTCAGCATCGCCCGAAAATGTGTGATGCCTAGGACTCTGCCATTGCTCGGACATCACGAGGAGACAAGACACAGGACAATTTATAAGACGACTTGAGGTTTTTCTTTTTCGAAACTCAATTGGAACATTACTTCTATGATGATAATAGCCTCCCAAATCACAACCAATAGACACATATCTATTTTTCCTAGAACTTTTGATGGATATTGCATATCCTTACATGGAGAAAAAAGCTCGAACATAATCTAGAGGTTCATAGCATGTTTGAAATTTCTGGTTGAGCAGTTCTTCGATTGATTCATGTTCATCACTTTTATTATTATGCTCATAGATTACTTATTGCAATTCACAAGTTAAGCTTCCATCCTCAAAAAATTTATCATTTATATTCTCCTCCATGTTGTCTATGTAGAGAAAAATAGACAAATGAATTTATAAGCATAAAAGAAATTACTAATGAATAATACATAAATGAGAAAATTTAATAAATTCTATTTTAAAATTTTTTTTACCTGAATTTTTCGAGTTACATTTTAAGCTTCCATTCATAATAAGTTTAACATGCGAGTTATCCTGCGCAGCATCTAAAAAAACATTTAAATAATATTAGTAAGAAAACAATAATCATAATAGTCTAAATATAATTTAATAAGACAAACTTAGAATCTTAGTCAGGCTCATTTTCTCATGGCAATATACATATATGTTGATGCAAATGGATTAAAATAGCTAGGCCACTTACCAAAATAAGAGAACAAGGGTTAAACTATATATGTTTATCTATTAACTAAAATAAAACCAATTACCTAAGACTAATTCATTAGCAAAAGTGAAAAAAAAAAGTATAAGAACCTCCTAAGTAGAATCCCACTCCTACACTACTCAAAAAAGAAAAGGGCATCGTCCATGTCCACAAGATAATTGATTGAGCACTTAAGATCATAATGTTTAGAACTTTTTTTAAAAAAAATAACATTTTTTTTTCAACTCTTATTTTGCAAAAATCACTTAATATAACAAGTAACAACTGCCAAATTAATTATTTTGATCTATTGTTGATTCTCGTTAATTGCCACTATCATTATATTTACTATCACTACTGATACCATTATGGCGTTGATTACCATCATCATTAAAAACACCAATACCATAACATCAATTTTATTACTGGAACCATCGATGCACTTAATTGTAATAAATAGCATAAAAATTTTCCCCTCAATCTACAAAGGCATCCTTGTTCTCGTTAGTGACAAACCTTCCATCATGATATTTAGGCAAATAATCAAACACCTTAACTACACATTTATTTAGAATCATCAATTCTTCAAGTTATGATATCACTCACAATTACAAGATTTTAAGTTTTTAGTAAATTAAACGCAAAAACCTCAAAAATCATTATTAACCAATACTCAAAAGTTCAATTTTTAGAATTTTACCTGGTTTTTGGGAATTAGAATTTACATTGTTATCTACAATAAGTTCCATATGGATATTGTCTTTCATAGCAAGAAAACCTTGAATAAAAAAAAAGTTACTACAAAAATGTTTCTCTTACTTCTCTTTTGATGGTGTCATGTAAGATTCTCAAAATTTTCATAGCGCCATATAGAATTGCACTGACGGTTTCGATTCTAAAAAATTTAGAATCGGATCGAATCGAAAATTGACGATTCTAGTTACGATTTGGAACCGAACAGTTACGGTTTCGACTCCGGTTCTTTAATGGTTCTCGGCCAGTTCTCTGATTGATTTTCTGGCATTATAAATTCAAAAATTAGGGGACATTTTTTTTGTGGAAAATATAAAATATAAATATTTATGAAACAATTTTTAGAAAAAACTTAAAGAAAAAAATTAATAAAGGCTTAACTTAATTTACTTATTAAAAAAAGGCTTGAATTTTTTTTTTTTAGAAAAAGAGTTTGAACTTAATTTCTTTTTTTAGAAAAAGGTTTGAACTTAATTTTTTTTAAAATGAAAATGGGTATTTATAGTAAATCTAAAAAATTAATTTTTCACAAATACCTTTAAAAATATGAAAATTATATACTTCTCATTTTACGTCAAATTTACCTGTATTTCCTTATTTAATTAAGAAATTCCTATTTTTAAAATTTTAAATTAAGAAGGGTTTATAGATTTTTCCAATTAAGAAGTTTATTTATTTAGAAAATCATATATTTCCTCAATTTTTATTTGAATGATCATAGAATCAAATCAATTAAACCAATCAAATTAGACCAAACCAAATTAGATTCATAAATCATTTTAATTTGGTTCTCTTCAAATTTTCAATAAACTACCCTTATTAATTTAATTTAATTCATAAAAATTTTCAAAGTTTCAAACCGAACCATTAATACCCTTATGAGTTATGACTATTAACTATGTTTGATGGGTCTGTAACGTCATTTCATCATTCACCAGACAACTCATGTCAAATTATGTAATTAAACCGAACAACCAGTGGCAATTGGATAACACAAGAACTTAACTTATCTACAAAGTTTCTTTGTCAGATACGTTGCTATATAAGGATTGCGTTAGTACGTTGGGATTTTATTGTTATGTGTTATTTAATATTTATGAGACTTAATATGGTTATTATTCTTCAACTCGTGCAGGAAGGTCTGATAAGGTGCTTCGTGCATGAACCGTTTTGGTCAGCAACTCAAATGGCATTCGGTATTTTTTTCTCTTAATAGAAAAATGAATTATCATCCATTAGGAGGAGGAAATATTTAGCCATTAATAACCAACGGAGACTTTTGAGGGGCTTTTTTTCTATACAAAAATTAGTCGAAAAACCGCACTTGATGTAGGGGTGAGCAAATTTTGAAAAAAACCAAAAATTGAATCGAACCAAATTATTTTTGGTTTTGATTCGGTTATTCAGTCTTTAGATTCGATTTCGGCTAAAATTTTTCATATTTTCGGTTTTTGATTTTTGGATCGGTTATTTTAAAATATTTATTTTCTGAGTAAAACCGAACAATTTGACCGAACCAATGTCTACCGAACCAAACCGACCAGTTTGTTTTGATTTTTAAATTATTTCGGTTTGATTTGATTTCAAAGAAAATTCATTTTCTATCTTCAATTTTTGCGGTTCAGTTCGGTTCAAAATCAAACCACCCGTTTGCACCCCCTGACTTTATGTGCGAGTGTTTAGATATTATTTTATTAATTATAGTAGTTGATTATATTATTATTTTTGATAAATTAATTTTAATTGTCAAATTGTTAAAAAGAACAATCAAAATCCTACTTGAAATAACTAATAGTAGTTCAGAATGATTTGTAATAAAGAGAAATATGATGTTGTTTGCAATAGTATGACATTATAAATCGTTAACATTATAATCAAGTTTCTTTATTAAAATAAGCTCATAGCAGAGGAACTAATCACTTGTTGAAATTTGGCTAAAGATTATGGTTGAAATAAAACATGGAAAATTTCATTATTAAAGACATTTAGGTATTTGAAATTGAATTTAACTAAGAGCAAGGGAGAATTTGCGAATAGAATTTTATAGAGAAAATTCTTAAATATGACGGCTGTTTAACCGGTTAAAATGCAAACAACAAAGTAAAACTTAAATTGAAATGAATTTCATAGTAAAAAAATGGATATTAAATTGTCTTTATCGGAAATTAATTCATGTTTTACATTGTTACGCAAAATAGACAATGTAATGGTACAAAGTATGAATCTCTACTTCAATTTTTGCTTAGAGATGATATATATAACATATTGTTTTTAATTATTTTATATTAATTGTTTAGTTCTATTAATATTAAATAAATTTCAAAAAATAAATTAACCAATTAAATATATAGATAAATAAAGGAATAAATTTTAATTTAGGTGCAAAGCATATTTAGATTTATAGTTAGACTTATAGTTAAATATTAACATACAAAAAGTAATAATTATCTAGTTATTTAATAATACTATTCTTTTTTATGATGTGCGTTGTACGTTGACCATGCTCATTATATGTTCATTCTTGATACTCATTTAATTTTTTATTTATATAATATTAAAGTATAAATTATTATTCAAATTTAGTGGTTAAATTATATTATACTTTTGTCACGACCCATTTCCGTGAGCCGGACCGGCACTAGGACCTGGGTGGGCTTAAGGCCCCCGAAGCCCGTAGTAAGCCTAACTTATTTAAATCTCACATTCTATTCATAAAAGGCCCCCGAAGCCCGTAGTAAAGCCTAACTTTATTTAAAATCTCAACATTCTTATTCTAATTATGGATTCAGCCATTTCTTATTATACATATGCATTACATATGCATCTAAAATACAGTTCATATGTTTAATATGGACTTTTATTATTTATTTACAACCCAACTGGAATACAATTGCGGAACTCTACCTTTATATTTATATCGTTATTTCTATCATTAACCGTCTTCTACAATAAGTGTCTCAACTTCATAGGGCTTTTCTTTCTTTCTATTACCTAAAAAAAAAAATAGTAGGCAGGGGTGAGCGCCAAACTCAATGAGTAGGGTTAGATATTAGATAACCCTCTCACCCCACACAATCACACAGATGCTAAAATATTTTTATCCGATTACCGTTTAATTATATGATCATGCAATTTGTCACAAAATGGCAATACAACAGGCAATCACAATATGATCACCTTTCCAATAATATCACATCACGTGGATGAAATATAGTCAGTGAAGTTCACCACGTGGAAATTAGTCAGTGGAGTCACCGAACCCCTGATGAGCCGTCCTCCCACATGGCTCATCCTCTCACGTGTGCACCAGGGAGCCGATCCCCAGTACTGGCCGACCGGTCTAATCTTCACTTGACCAGCCCTCTCATTGTTTTTCCATTCTCTCTTTTCTTTTCCCTACCAACAGGAGGTAACCCGGTCGTCTCCATCAAATCTAGATCATCAGGCGCTCACAACAGGAAGCCACCCTGCGGGCTGCGATCAATCTAGATTATCAGGTGCGCCCAATAAAGAAACCAACCTGTGGTTTTCCATATCACACAAATCATAGCAGTAGGTGCACACGGGGGCGCCGATCTCCCATTTACCCGGCCAAATTTCATATCATATTCAGGATCCATATCACATATACCAACAGGAGGCCACCCTGCGGGCTGCGATCAGATCTAGATTATCAGGTGCGCCCAATAAAGAGACCAACCTGTGGTTTTTCATATCACACAGAGAACGTAGGTGCACACGGGGGGCGCCGATCCCCATTTTACCCGGCTAAACAGAAATCAAATTCAGGATCCATATAACAGAATCAGAATCATAATCGGATCCATATAACAGGAAACAGTCCTCACAAACCCTATTGGTGACCCACTTCATCCCAATCACACAACCAAGGCACAGTAAATATCACATCATAGTAAATCAAGCAATGCAAAATAGGAGCACTATATGCAATTCAACAAATAATGCATGATAAACTATTTAGCCGTGAATGCAATGAATTGCCAGGTGGATGATAATAGTTATCTAACACTACTCAACAGTTTCTTTATTGTCCCTTTAAAAGGGACTGCCCGTTTTTTAGCCACACATGCTCCAGCTTTTGTCCTCTGCATTTTGTATTTTAATAAACTTTAAAATAACAAGAAAATTCTAAAATAAGAATTTAATTCAAAAACTTAATAATTTCACATCGTTTATGTTATTTTGGCTACTGGTCCATTTAAGTTCACTGTTAATATGGCATAAATCTAGGCATTCTCTATTTATATAATAATTATTCTTATTTTATTATTCTAATTTATAACTTATATTAAATAAAGCATTCTAATTATTTAGTAAGTAATATTTTTATAATAATAATAAATACCATGATAATAATAATAATAAAAGTTTTAATTGTTATCACCTATTAAAGATATAACTAGTTTAATTCTTCATTAAGTGTTTACTGAAAATTCGGCAGCATTTCCTATATAAACTAGACTATCCAAATTTTTACATAAACCATATGTCAACACACAGCCCATCCATCGGGCAATTCACATTAACTCATCTCGTCCGCCATAACCATCATTCATTCTTTCTTTCATTCAATTCACAGTCTATCATATTCTTAATCAAATTAAATTCTCATTATAATTAATTATGCTATAACTATTTACTTACTAATAAAATTTCCAAATTTTACTTACATTATTATTAGATAGAAATTTATATTTCAACACCGATTTTATAGTTATAATTAATATTCATGGAATATATTTAACAATATCAAATTTAATTTATTTAACTACTTAATTAAATTCATTAATTAATTATCTTGGGATTTATTCAAAAATTGCAAATTAAGCTTTAGAGTGTACCGATCGAAAATCGGATTTGATTTCCGTGATCCGCGCAAAGAGGAGAACATTCTGCCTTTGAAGTCCTTCCTCGCCGGAGCCTCGCCGGCGCTGCCGACCCGCCGCCCGTGCACGGTGGTCGAAAATAGTCAAATCTTCACCAAAAATTAACAGCACAATCAATTTTAATTCGTTTTGATGAGCCCGCGATCACTAATATGTTATTCAAAATCAAGGTGGCGTATGAACTATTTGGCCGAATTGACGGAAAGGTTTGCGCCTCCGCAATTTGGCGCCTTTTCCGATTTCCGGTTATTACCAGTCGACGAGCGAGGCCACAAATGAAAGACGGAAGAAGAGAGGGTCATTCTGTCGTCACCGTTGCGCTCTAAGCTTCGCTCGAAGCGTCGAACTCCGCCGAAAAAAAGTTAACCTACGGTGGCCGAAACTTCAAGCCTCTCCCCTTCAAAATAGACGCAATTTCAGTTAAATCTAGCTATAACTTTCCTCCTCTGTTCGAGTAGATGTCTTTAGAGTGTTCATTTGCCGAAAAAAAATTTTCTTTGGTGGCCCGGGACGGGACGGAGATCGAAAGGAGCCAGGGAGGAGGAGGAGGAGGTGCACGACTCGCGAGAAAGGAAACGGCATAACGACACGAAAAGCAGAAAGAAGAAAACGACAAAAATCGGTCGTCGGTAGATTTCAAAACCGGTTCGGTCCAATCACGCTGATTTGGTCTCATTTCGTTTTGGTTTTTCGAGTTTTCCATCGCACTTTTCGGTTCGGTTTATCACAGTAATTCGAACTTAAAAATACTTAATATAATCTTCAACGTCGTCGGTTCATTATAAATTTAATTGGACTAAATTTTTTGAAAATAAAAATTCAGGTATGACATATCTCCCCCCTTTAAGACAATTCGCCTCGAATTGATATCTAGTGGGACAGATACAGAATGGACCGCTGAAAAATTGTAAAGTTATAAGTAAATTGCTTCCACATACCAAGGAGACCAGCTAACTCAACACAGGAATACGACGAGGCACCAACCAACGTGAGTGGGGTATCTCGCACTCTTGTACTTTCTACGACTTGTCATCTTAGAAATAAAACTTGTTAATAATCACCTCACAACCTCAATCCGAACGCAAACCTTCCGGTGCTAGAAATCTTTTCTTTAAAATAAAATCTTATACATTAACAGCCTTTCAATAACAATGCCTTACTATATTATTTCATTTTATTCACGCATTCTTTATCGAAAACCAAATATATAATTTGCAAAAAAAAACAATCTTTGAAATTTAATTTCAAACCTATAATAAGAAATGATCCATTAAATTCCCATAATGTTAGCAACTAACACTCCCTTTCTCCTCAACAGCTCACAAAAAAAAATTGTTACTTATCCAAAATTTTTAAGAAAATTTTCTCGTATCTTTTCGCTATCTTTAATATCCGCTACGCGCGCCATCAACGATAATCTCATTAGGAATTTTCTACACTCCTTTAAATTTAATCGCCAATCCCTCTGTCTTCCACTTATTATTCATTAAATTCTTGAAACAATTTATCATTAAAATAGTTGACTTTCATAATCTATCTTCACTTATCGTTTCGTCTGTTAATTCATCTTAAGCGATATTGAAGCCTACTTATTAGTATTAACTTCCACTTAGGTTTCTCTTAATGCCGACCTAACCTGTCTTACAATTCCGCACATCCCCACACTCACGTGCACACTCTCCAACTAACTCAAATTTATTTCCCCAACTCTGCGTCAACAAATAATCTTATTCGTTTCCATATGAAGTTCAGTTTTTCACTTAATCTCGCACTCATCACGCAAGGTCCTACTCCCATTTATAATACAATAACTAATTGTTTAATTTCCATCCAATTTAAAATATAGTATCAATTTTATCTATCTCTCCTTTCTTTCTTATTTATGTCTAGCAAGGTATTTACAACTTCCTTAAATTTATCCATTTAACCTTATCATTTCTAGTTTCTCAGGTTAGCACACTGCCACCTGCTGTTATCATCTCAACCTCAAGTAATATCAACTAATAACTGTACATTTCACTAATTTAATAATTATTTTAGAACTTTCCTCTTGAAGTTTAATTGTTTAATCCATTTATGGGTTGTTTACATCTACTACTGTTATCATTTTCAAATAGCCCCCTAATCAATTTAAGTCAAAGCATTGTCTCACAGAAGATTCAACTTCGAATATTCTTTTTCTTTACCGACAACCATCCTGTCAGGATTTAAATTAATTAAGTTTAATATTTATCGAAGAGCCCATAGAATTTGATTGCCACATGTTTAAACTGTATTTTATTAACATATCTTTTAACTCTAAAACGTCCCCTAGAGTTGAATAATTTTCTTATGATATGACAAACTACCCAAAAGCTTAAATTATCAAATCTCTCTAGTTCTGATTTGTCACAATTCACTATAGTAAAAAAGGAATAGTACTAAAATTTAATAGTACTAATAATTTCAATTTTAATGTAATCTATCTCTAAAGTTTTTATTGATTTTTTATTTCTTATTCTTGATGAAATTCTACCTCAATTAGATTCATTCGTAACTAATAGTCCTACAATACTTAGCTATTCATGTGAATTTCACCCTAATGTGCTACTTAAGGATTTTTGAGCAATTTAAGAGTCCTCATTTTCTAATAGTTCTACTATATATTGTTTCACCGATATTAATTGTTAGATTAATCGTTTATTTAAAAATTCGACTAATGGGTTGACAACTACAGCCTAGGTTGACCATCCTATGGGTAACTGGCTATTTAACAACTTTCAAAATAATTTTCCCTTTCCACCTAAAAAAAACAAAACATCGGCATGTCACTCACACAAAACCTTGAAATTCTTTTAATAGAAATTCACAGTTACTTTTATTTCATTTCAAACCCATTCTCAATCGTGGTATAAAAATATTTTCGTGAAGTTTGAAAATCAATACTCATTGTATTATTTATTAAATTTTTTTTTTTAAACCTTTTGGTATTCAACACAAATGAATTGTCTATCTCCACGAGGACAATCCTTAAGTCATCTAGTTCAAGTCTACTATCTCATATTTCATTCCAAGAACATTCTAATCTCCATAATTATTATTCCTTTCGCTGTTACTAAATTGGTCCACACTTTAAAATTTTTTTTTAACTATTTAACATTCCCTAGTTTTCTCCAAGTTCTTTAGATTTTTGATTCGTTTTAGTCTTTCTTTTATCCTCCTTGTTTCCTCATTTAAGTCTTATTCGTAAAAGAGTTTAATTATGGATACATGAATCGTAAAACCATCATTCTGCACAAAATTTAATTCCATCCTAAAGTCATTGCTTCTTAGATTCCCTTATTCTGATTTTTCAATCTCTACTTAATTATTATAAGTTATCTTTGACCTTTATCCCTTTCCAAATGCTATTAAAATATTTATTTCATTTAGCACCTCAATCTATTTCATTTAGCACCTCAATCTACTTGCGTACTTAATTCTTTAAAGCAGGTTTTATATAAGTTGCTTATACTTAACTTAGATTAATAAATAGTATTAGTCATTTCTACGTTAACTCCCTACCTAGATACATTATTTATATTTATATTATTATTATTATTATATCTTTATTTATTTAGTTATTTATTTTATCATCAATTTTTTTATATACTCTGGTTAATTCATTCCCTATTTATGATTTAATGTTATTCATCATCTTTTACATTACGCATCCTACATGTGCTAGGATCTTAATTATATAACGTCTAATACATTTATTACAAACTGGACTTTTACATTATAAATTTTTTTGCTTATACCAACTATCCCTTACATACACACTAGTTCCATAAGTCTATTATCGATTCAACCTAATTGCTCATTTTCTTATATTAGATTCATAATTATTTCATGGCTTGTAATTACTAGATCATCAGGCGCTCACAACAGGAGGCCACCTTGTGAGCTGCGATCAAATCTAGATTATCCGGTGCGCAACAACAAGAAGCCAACCTGTGGTTTCAGTATAAATAGTATTATCAGGTGCACATGGGGGCGCCGATCTTCCATTTACACGGCTAACAGTAATCAATATCAGGATCCATATAACAATAATAGTATATAACGGTAACGGTAATCAGAGTCAGGATCCATATAACAGTAACAGTCTCACAAACCCATGGTGACCCACTTCATCCCAATTCCACACAAACAAGGCACATCAATTACTCCTTTAAAGTTCTACATGTCGAATTCACCTCAATTAATACTTTTAATATTTTTAGATACAATTTATTCGTTCCTTAACATCTGTTGACGGCGTGTTTTTTATGCCCTGCCTGAGTTCCAATGATCGATACGAGGATGAAGGGTCACTTATCATCTAAAAGCTTTTAAATCCAAGGATTTTTTTTTAAAAATAATTATATATAATATATAATAATATAATATATATATAACTAATTAATAAAAATAATAATAAACCAAATAAATAAAAAAAATAAAATAAAAGGGAATTGCATCATAGTTCATCATGGGCTTTGCAGCTGTGTGATGCAGCTGTGCAGCAAAAAAAAATATATAAAATATATAATAATAATAAATAATAAAAATTAAAAAAAGAAGAAAAGAGGGAAAAAGACGCGTGCTACAAGTAGCACGCTTTTCCCTTACTTTAAATAAAAAGAATATATAAAAAATATAATAAAAATAAAAAAAAGGGGGGAAACGCGTAGCTACAGGTAGCTGTGCTACTGTACACGCGTCCCCAATTGTCTATAACTACGCTCTTCTCAACACTCTCTCTGGGGCCTCCCCCTCGGCCCTCCTCCTCTCTCTCTCTCTCTCAAACATCTACACTATCTAAATAATATTATAATCTAAATTTCTACTACATTTCATAATATCAAATTCTCTCAAGAAAAATTCTATGAATTAATTTTGAGAGAAAATTGCTATTAGATTATTAATTTTAGGTGAAATTGAAATATAAAAAGAGAAGAAATAACAAAAAAAATAAATATAAGAAAACACAATTTAAATACTTGGAAACAAAGCTTTTAGGAGACTGATCCATTCACAA